AATACATATTCAGCATCTTGCTTTTCCGCGCCTGCCAGGGAGTTTATTAAAAAATGAAATAAAATGAAATATAATATATTACAATAAAATAAAAAAAGCGGCGTAACGGGGATTGAAAATGAGTAATTTGCACACCTGTGATATCATCCGTCAATTTTCATATGCTCGCAAGGTGGAGAAAGAGAAAACTCTTACGAGGTGGAGGTGGGAAGAACATTAATAAGATTCCATCCTCAAAGATATGCAGGGTCATATATACATACAACAACAAGAGCACGAGCCACATTGCTCTCTTTGTATGGTGTGCAACAAAGAGAGAAAGAAAAACAGTGAGCGGTGTGATACGACTAAAGTAAAAGGACAGGATTCAGAGTACAAGCTTATCAACACTCACCACATATTTCCATTTTTCACCAGCATTAAGCTCGAGTACCTTTTTTTCCTTAGCAATGGGGTTCATCAGGCATTGTCAATAGAGTTTGCTATTTGACTCTCTTCTCCCATTCCCTCTCTTCAACCCTAACAAGGAATAGGATGCATTGTCGTGGGAACTGTGCTGCGGCAGTTTTTATCCAAGCGGACTTTTTTCCTTTTTTTCCTTTTTTCTCTTTTTTTTTTTTTTTTTTTTTCCCTTTTTCTCTTTTTTTTTTTTCCTTTTTTTCCTTTTCAAAGCGCCAAAGAGATACGACACGTCATTTCCTCGATACGATCGTGTGCTTTTTACTGGTCGGCATACAAACGTTGATACTTTGTTTCACCTTCAATCTTTATATATTCTACATTGTATTGCATGAAAATATAAAATAAAATAAAATAAAATAAAAAATAAAAAAAAAATAAAAAAGGCGCAGAGGTATTATGACGACTGTCATGTGTTACTTCCCACTACACTCTGGAGAAACGGCAAGCTGCCAAAGTACAGTCCCAACGATAGTCTTTCCCATCTCTTGTTAGGATGCTAGGAGTGAAGAAAGAAGATAGAAGAAGAGGATAAGGAAGATGGTCTCCTTTATCATTAAGAGTAAACAAGCTCGAGAGCAATACAGTTCATGCTCTGGTTGTTTATAGACAGATTTCCTTTGCGAGTCTTGAAGATAGAGTATTATTCTCACTTTCAATCGTGAGAGTCTTCTCATTATCATATGAAATACGACAGATGACATCAAAGGCACGTATATTATTTTTTATTTTATTGTTTTTTTATTTGTTGTTTATCTTGATATTTTATTGGTCGCTCTTGAGCGTACAGCAAGCAAGATACTTAGTACATCGCGCCAATCACTCCTCGTCCCTTCTCCTCTTCTTGCGCGAACGTAAAAAATAATAATAAGAAGCCAATATAAAAAGGACCTATTTTGACTCTCTTCTTTTTTTTTTTCTTTTCTCTTCTCTTTCTCCTCGGTCTCCTCGACCATCGGCCTCCACAACCAAGACAAAAAGGTAAGCAACACTCCCTAAACAATCACTCTTACTGAAGTTCTCAACACTGTCACTCTGTGCTTCACTGTCCTTGTTCTGATTATTTTCTTTCTGGTTGTCTCTCTCTTTTTTTTTTTCCACGATTAGACTACAACGACATGAAGTTGCCTAAAGCAACTGGGGCTTCATAACGCACAGCCAGGCTGCCATGCTCAGGCACCCATCCTCGAACGGCCGCACTCCAACAAAAAGCCGTATCCAACTGGCCACGCTCCAAACGGCCACGCTCCAAACGGCCACGCTCCAAACGGCCACGCTCCAAACGGCCTCGTACAAAAGGCCAGTCTGCCTCAGTCGAACAAACAGGCCTTCTCCACGGCCGTATACCCAGCCCACCCATCTTGGGATGATGGCCAAGGATTCACGAACAACCCCAAATCACAGCAGCTAGGCCACTTCCCACAGCGTGGTCTGGAAGCACTGGTACCAAAGTTCGGCGCCACTAGGCAAAAGGCGAAACCAAAGAGAGGTCGAACAGTCCATCCAGGCAAAAAACAAAAGCCTCCGGAAACAAATGCCTCAAAAAAAAAACCCCCCCCCCAAAGAAAAAAAAAATAATCCAAAGAAAAAAAAAAAGCCAAAAAAAATAAAAATAAAATAAAAATAAAAATAAAATAAAAATAAAATAAAAATAAAAATAAAATAAAATAAAAATAAAAATAAAAATAAAATAAAAATAAAAATAAAAATAAAAATAAAAATAAAAAACAAACCAAAGAAAAACAACAACAACAACAACAACAACAACAAAAACAAAAACAAAAACAAAAAAACCAAAGAAAAAAAAATAATCAAAGAAAAAACTAATAGCCAACTATTAAAGAAAAAAAAACCAAAGAAAAAAAAACAAAAAAAAAAAAAGAAAAAACCAACTAAATAAGAGCCAAGAAAAAAAAAAAAAAAAAAAAAAAAAAACTCTTACTAACACAAAGCACTTTTTAACATAGCAACAATGCACATCCAAGATGCAACAATCAATGCATATCTAAGGTGGGTCCGAACGGGCATGAGCCTACGCTGGTTCTTGAATGAGCCATGTGGTGGCGGAGCCCCTTCGACTGGGAAAGGGAATGGGAAAGGGAATGGGCAAATGGGTGAATAATTGTGTGTGTGTGTGTGCGGGCGTTTGCAAGGCCATGGGGTCTGACCAACGGAGCACGATATGCCAGACCACCTCCACGTGGTGTGCTCCGGACAACATCTTGGAGAGTCTTTTTGATGGAGACAAAGGAAAGCACTTTCCAAGATGGCTAAGAGTCTGGCTTCTTGTAGCTTAGAATAGTAGGCAGGTAAGCTAGATGGCTAGATAGCAAGCAATCCATTAATAAAAAGTGTAAAAATGATAAAGAAAAAGCTTCAGTAGAGACGGCATTGCTTAAATGATAGAAGGGTAACCTATTAATGTACTGCTCAGAAAAATGTTTGTGAAATCTGATCCTAGTCTGTCGACTCGAGCAGCAGGCTTTCATCTCACAAGTCTCATTTTCACATGAAATATGACAGATGGCCTCAAAGGCACGTACGTTGTCCTCTGTAGATGCTCTCTAAGAGACTTGCGATGTAAGTTTGATGACTGATGTAGCAGGATATGATACGATTCGATTCAATGCGATTCAAAACAAAATAAAATAAAATAAAATAAAATAAAAAATAAAAAATAAAAACAAGGACAAGGACAAGGACAAGGACAAGGACAAGGACAAGGACAAGGACAAGGACAAGGACAAGGACAAGGACAGGGACAAGGGCAGGGACAAGGACTATCCCAATTAACCAGAAAGTAGTAAGGAGGATGGCTATAGATTGGACAAGTGGAGGGAGTCAAACGCAACAGCCATTCTTCTGGCATAAAAATCAGGTGATTGTGCACAGTGAGACAAAGCAGAGAAGACATTAATGATTGAATACATGCACGCTCTTTCTTATATACAAGTTTGTCCGCATGTCTGCACTCGAGGTAGCAAATGCAACTCGAGTTGATAATTGAACATCGTGTTTGTTGACCAGCTTGTTACATTTGTTTCTTCAAACCACAACTATGATATGCTACATTCCTACATGCCTGCATATCGCGCTATGATTAGCACAGCCAATGGCCTTTTTATTTATTTCCTCAACCTCTTTGCCTCTTTGCGAAATAAAATTTCTTTTCCCGTTTTCATTGGACTATCAACCATGTCAACCATTGCATACATGACCGTCTCCAGTCAAAGAAGACATCTTGAAATGATCCAGACATCGGTTTATTTAGTCTTTATTCAATAAGCTGCACATATCAAAGCTAGTCCATAATCTTTTCTTGTAACTGTTGGTTGTTTATTAAGCTTCGTTGCTAAACCATCAAGTTAGTATCAGGTCTATATTGCTCAGTCGAATATGGCCTGTAGGGAAGAAGAGCTTATGTATCGCCAAGAAACTGTACCACACATTGATAACATACAGCGATGGCAAACACGGGCTTATCTGATATCCTGGCGGCTGAGGAATAACATAGCATATCCTTGACCTTTATTAGAAACGTTCACATACTCCCAATACTACCACTATCCTTATAAAAAATAAAGAAAAAGAAGACGATTTGCTCTTGCTACTGAGAGTCTGTGGCTAGGGCTTGTGTTAAATGTTCGAGCCTCTTTACTAAGACTGAGGAGTGAGTGAGTGTCATCATACGCTTTGCTCTTTGCGTGTTCAAATTATTGGTCTAAGGCAAATTCACTTTGTGGTGTCACATGTGGAAGGTATTCATTATTCCCATGCAAATAAACATTCTACACAGCCAACACACACAAAGCTTAATCTGACGAATCATTTTTCATTCATGTGCCAAAAGGACATTCCTTAACCCTTTCAATTAATAAAAACGACGACTCAAGCAGAAATGACTATTGACCCTTAGTCGACGCATATTGCAAAAGTAGGCTGGTAAATAACTTGACCTTTTACTATACCTTGGCAAGAAAGGAAAGTGATTAAGGGCTGGAACTATTTGTTCACCTGACTAAATTAAAAAATAAGCTATCTCTTACCAACTACCTTAACTTCAAAGAAAATTGTCACTCGGAGCGAACAGACAAATTGATCTTTCCTTCGAAGTCTCCAACGTTCTCTTCCTCTTCTATTGCATTCAGAAGCTTCTGTCCATCGTCTCCTTCAGTCTTCAACTATTATCCGAGTAGTTCGCCAACGTAAGAAACCTTTTCAGTCCACATAGAGATGGATGTCTGGATTTAACATTTGGTCGACATTTTCTTCATTCGAATCTTTTTTTTTTTTTTTTTTTTTTTTTTTTTTTTTTTCTCTCGACAGGCATTACTCCTGTGTCTTCTCGATTTACTTTTTCATTGGCCATTGATCGACGCTCTCGTTGCTTAGTCGCTGTCTTTAATTATTTTATTTTATTTCATTTGTTTTGAAAAAAAAAAAAAAAAAAAAAAAAAAAAGCTTGGCGATGCTTGTCGGAAGCGGCACTATCATCTAATCATCTTCCAGGAAGTACTACAAATCAAAACATAGTTTTCAGGTAAACGCCATGAAAACGACAAAAGCAGTACGAACAACACTAGCAGTATCTTTCGAGAACTGACTTTACAAAAGATGTATATGACTCAAAATGTATGCATTAGAGTTTTTTTTTTTTTTTTTTTTTACATTCTACCTGACCATGGCATACCAAACTTCAAATTCACCCTATGTCCTCGGTACAGGCTTTTCTCTTCCTAGCAATATCCAGGACATCTGCAAAAGGCACTTCAATGTTATACCAAAGCAGGGTCAGCTGGACGTAGTTTCGAGGATTGGAGAAGGCAAGGACACTATCCTTATTGCAGGCTGTGGATGGGGAAAGTATCTTGTTGGAACAGGAATCCCTATCGAGTATTTTGGACTGGACTCCCCTCAATGAGAACTTTCCTTCTGAGGTAATGGGTGTTTTGCGTCAGTTCTTTTGGAATAAGGGAAGGACTACAAGGAGGATCCTCTCGTCGGATTTCGCAGCAGTACTTCACACGGACAACCAACAATCTGGCGAAGTTTTTAATGCACCTGTTGTCCCTGTTGCGCCCGTTATATTTGTTGCGCCAGTTGTACCTGCTGCAGCTGTTAGTGCGCCTAATATTGTAAATGGTTCTTTAGCGGCCTGTGGAAGTAGGACATAGCCCCAGATTACTGCTCGCAACAAGCGCTCTGCCTCTCCAGCAAATGCGCAGCGTAAAAGTAAGGCTGTGAAGTTCATCAGCTGCAGCAGACAGCAGTGGAGGTAGAGGGTGATTATTTAATAAAATGATTTATGCCTGTTATGCGCCGAGGCTTGGGTGTACCGCAGGAGGGCGAAAGATGCAAGGGATAGAGCCACTATTGGCCTTGTGAAAAAGTGTTGTGTGACGAAACAAAATCAGCAGCTTATTACATTAGTTTCTAGTAATATCGGCTATAGTCGACTTTATAGAACGGGATCGAGATAAAGACTATTCGAGGTTAAGACTATCTATATAGCTCTCCGTATCAATATCCGTACCGATATCTATGTCTATGCCCATGTCAACCGTATCATCCCTTGAAAGAATACCATCAGCTAAACTTGAAAGTTCTGCTTCGGAATTAAGGTCAGTATGGGCCACAGGATCCATGAGGCTCGAGTCGTCTATGACCACAGCAGCTCGCAGAACAATCGAATCTAAGGTGTGTCGTATGAGCTCATCTGCCGCATGAAAATCTTGCTTATTCAAATTGACGCGCTTGCGGCCAAGCTTCGATGCATTATAGGCAATAGAGCCTGCCGCGGAGACCGAGCCATAGTGATTACGGACTATCATACTGCTGAGCACCATCTGAAGATGAAAGAGCTGGATCATAGGAAGGGCCCACCGGTGTCTATAATATGGCGAAACTTCATCCCTAGAGTATCTCTTTAGCGATCGAATCCTCGATACAGTGAACAGATCTCCAGCAATGATGATCTGGTAATTGTCCCGGAACCACTCCGTCTGTATGCAAAGTTTTTTGTGCATGACAGTGTCAATGATTGATTTGTTGCCTTCAATCGTAGATTCATCAATTTTCATCGCCGGTAATGGGTACGTTGCAGTTTTGGTAGTCGCTATCCGATTGCTAATTGGGGCAGGGTTTGAGCAACCCTCAAAGCGGCTGAGATACCTCTGGAGTATCCCTTTAACGTGAAACCGATAGGAATCTTCGAAATGGCGTTGGTTCCCCGCTGTAGGCACCAAGCTATTGAGAGTGAGAAGCCGATATGGGTCGTTAACTACCGGCCCCACGTTAATGTCGGGGCATTCAACAATAGTTGCAGTTGTCCCGTTCTCAAAACTGTCTCTGTTGGTGGCCCGCTGGTCGTATTTCTGGCTCGCAAAGTTAATGTTATCATACAGGAGGAACCATGACTTGTCCTTCACCACCGATTGTACCTTTTTCATCGCACCCTCGGTCAATGAATTAAGGCCGTTGAGGATAGAGGCGTAAGACACAGAGAAGCCAGCGGCAGAGAGTACTTCGATCACCTTACGCTGAGTCCCAGTACTGAACAAAAATAAGCCCATCATCATCTGTATGTAGTTGCAGGTGCGAGAACGGAGGTTGAGGATCATACTGACTATTAATGATAGGATTGTCTTTGGTGATCTTGTGGGTGTAGAGTTGATATTCGTTAGACTGTTGAGAATCGAATAAAGCACTGGTGCCTCTCTTTGTATGATTGCATTGAAAAAATCCAGGGAGAATTCTGCGGATGTTTCCTGCTGGATGTTTGTTGGGGAAGTTTTCAATTCATCGAGCTTGACAAGCATATTAACTTCCTGTCGTGCGCTTTCAACAACTACCTCAGAGCAAGCTATAAGGAACTTGGTTTTTTGCTCTTTGCTTTTGCTTTTTGCTGAGCTTTCTCCCCCAAAGCATGACGACATCGCCTGGACATCGACCGCCGTAGAAAGTTTGAACCATATGCGATACTGCCTCATCAGTGGAAGTAAAGAATGCTGTTATCATTGTCGCCAATGACATGTTGTTTTCCTTCATGATGGCAACAATCCTTAGTAACGCTGCGTCTCTAGCATTCGATGCTGAAATGTAGTCGGCTGTTGACCGTTGGCTGAGTGAAATGACAGGAACATTGTTGGGAGAATTTGACAGAAAAGTGGATGGATAGAAAGGAAATGAGAATAGATGTGGATCCATATACAACACCCAAGGGGTATTTATTCAGGAACACATCACAATTTAATCTTATATTGTTGTGTAACAACGAACATATACATCTTGTATACATCTCTTGCATACATCTCTTGTATCAATTAGCAGACATCTTGTATCAATTAGCATACACCTTGTATCAATAAACATACATCTTCTAGGGAACGCTTTACACGGATGTATGCATTCTTTTCATGGCACCATGGGTGTGTCTGTTTCCAACTTTTCACGTCTGAACATGGTCAGGCTCTATTTTAAATACTCAATTTGACTTAACCTTTACAATTTTGGTATCCGAAAAAAAGTATTCTATCCAATTTAGAAACGTGTCTCTGACTTTCTGACGAGGACTCCAACATCCTGCATTCTTTCAAAAGCCATTTTTCAATAGGGATAGGATCACACCTTCACTTTATTATTAATAATGTACATCTATAATGACCTTAATTCGCATGTCCATTCACCGCTCTGTTCTTGTTCTTCTAGTTCTCATGCGTCTTGGTGCTTGCCTAAGTTCTGCTTGCAGATCAATCCCCATAATATATTGCTTGACATCTAGGAGTTCCTTTGTAGCTTTGGAATCCACACGATTTGTCCCAGTCTTAAAATTTTGTTTCTTGAACTCCTTAATCTGGTCTTGTGGAACAACAAAAATAAGTGCAACCTCCTCAGAGGAGTGAATCCACTTATTTTCTCGCATACTTTTCAAAAACGCTTTGAAGGGTTTGCTTTTGATGCCATGATCCTTGTTCGTCGTAACTTGAAGGAGATAGTTCGGAGCAAGTAACATATCCACACAGGCAAATCTTTTGCTATTTGGGATCCATAGCGATCCTTGCATCTTGCCCTTGTAACATTCAAGAGTATTGAACCATTTAACGTCCGGGCTAGCTTTGATATCAATGGTTATTTCAGTATTGTCATGAAGGTTCCTGGCCTGAAAGCAACGGTTGCCTATCCGTAGTATGCGCCGCATATAAAGCTCGAACATTGCTCCTCTACCTTCACCAACTCTACCATTGGCAAGCCGATTCAATAGTTCATTCCAAGTTTTGTCGTCCACTGCATCATGCACCTCTTCCATGATATAATCTGAAGCCCATACTAATCGAAATCCTCTATGATCTTTTGTCGGATAACGGTGAAGAAGATGGCTGCTGTAACATTGTGAATCCTTAGCCTGTTCAAAGTATTGAAGTATCTTCATTGGATCCTTGATGTTGTCAAGGGCTTGATTAACGCGCTCGAGTGCACTGCTTTCTGCTACTGCTCTCACTTTTTTTTTACAACGATCCTCTGGGGAGTAGAAATCCAGTTCTTTACGCGGTACCTCGAGGACATACCTTGGCACTCCACCAATCATCTCATACAGGTGTTCCATAAAATCTTCCGGAACCATATGAAAGGCTTCAACCTTGTCTCTGCATTCTTTTAACTCATCTAGCTCCCACGGAGCCATGTAGTATTTCCATGGGACTCCCTTCACGATTTCTTTATACAGATTTTCCTCAGAATTTAAAGTTTTTGGCGACACTGAAAAGATAGTCCTGGCGAGCATGAGCTTTGGTGCTGGTGAGCTATCGACTAGGAACCAAGTAACAGATCGTCCACCGAAAGCATAACACATTGGATCTTCCTTTTGCTGGATGATGATAATAGGTGGGTCTTCCTCATTGCTAGTGGCAAGCAGCCGGGTAGCAAAGTATACAAGAAAAGATTATTGTCCTATATCGGCTGTCCCTGTGAGGACCATTTGGAGGGCTTCAGGCTTTATATCTCTGTCTATACCAAACTTATTGATGATCTTATCGTAGAGTTCTTTGAAAGCTGATCCTACGTACAGATCTCGGACCTTGAGCACAGAAAATTTTGTCCCCCAAGGGCTGGATATCACGTCGATTTCTTGAAATGATGCGTTTTGGAGGGAAGTGGCCGTTTGGGATATTGAATAGTACAGGTCAGTCCTACCCACCCTGGCGCCATTATTAGCAAGTACTGAAACCAGTTCTTTACTCGAAAGGACGGAGAGATCAGGATCACCGTTTATTATAGCCTTTTGGGCAAGTCCTGCTGCACTAATTGCCTTCATTTGGTTGCCCTCGTCTAGCTTGGTCTTTTTGGAGGAGCTCCTATCATCCTCGCCATTCTCTAGCTGATCTCGATCTCTTTTCGAAACTTTGTAAAAATTTAAACAAATAGAATAGTTTTAGAAGGCAGTTTGACGCCTTGAATCGAAACCATCAGTCCAAAAAGAACTAAAGACATACCTCGCTTCGGTACTTCAACAATAATGTAAATGAGATTATCTGATGCCCCGTCAGGAAAGTAAGTATGGAGTTTCTCAAGTACGTTGTCAAGGACCTTGAGTGACTCTTTAGGAAACTTGCATAGTTCCTCTACTGTTGAACCATTAGGATGAGCTTGAGAATAAGATCCTTTGCATCGGTACCATTAAAAGCGTTTTCATTCTTTGCTTTAATGGCATCCTTTAAAAAACCAATGGTTTGGTCGGAACGAATGATCACTGAGAAAGCCGGTTCTCCTTCCACAAGGCAGAAAAGTTTCAGTTTAATTGGCTTGGGAGACTCGTTGTTTTTGGATTTTGCTGGAGATTTGTTGTCCGTGGTTGAAGATCTAGAGATTGGCGAATTCCGAGTACCCCTGACTGATTTTGCTTTCGGCATTATTGTACAAGAATAAAAGAGTAAAAAGATCTGTTTGAGTGGTGAGATGCAACTGAAGGTTGATTGTTACAAAAAAAAACTGTAATTCTTTATGCCAAAATTACATCCCGTGATAATAACAAACTGCTTTATAAAAATGTACCTTTTTCTTGTTCCTTTGTGCTCTATAGACCTTGATAAAGGTGTTGTTGGACCCAATCATGGTGATCGCCTCGGAAACTGACGCCAGGGCTCCAGTTTCCTTTTCCTTTAAGTTTATGGGTGTTGATTCTTGTCGGGGTACAGTTTCCAACAAACAAGATGGGAGGTGAAGAGGAGGAGGAAAGGAAAGAAAAGTTGGGGGTATTTATGAAGATTGTTTTTCTTTTTGTGATATTGATATGACGTTTCACAGCAACGCAAAGGAAACTTGGTATCCCACCGGATTGCCAAATAGTAAAATATCTGATTTGACAACCCTGAGCTCGCTGTTATTTGACCCTTTTTTTTTATTGACAAGGATCTCAAGGGTCGTTATTTGACAATCTGCCTCGTCCCAAATTATCCATAGTGTTCACTATCACTTGAAAACCAACAGAATACTCAATGGTGGGTGTGACATATCAGTCACATGTAAGTAGTGCTTTCACTTGTCATTCATTAGTTATCAATTTCACTCTATTTAAATCAGTAGGAGGTGATCAATAAAGAATATTTCCTTCTATTTGTAATATACAAATATACATCATGCATGGTCTACTGAATGGTCACATTGTCATAGGCAACATGGACGAATGTGCGTGTTACCTTTCTTCATTGAAAATCCGATGAGAAATAAAGAAAATAAACTAAATAAAAGACCCCTCTGCCCTGCAAATCTGATCTGCATCTACTTCTCGAGTCAAAAGGGTGGTGTGGGGCGGGACATACGCCCATGGTACCTATGACAATGTGAACAGGTCGTCCTTCGTAGACCATTCAGTAGACCATTGTCTACGGTACCATGTCCGTATGTGGCTCCAGAGGGATCGCTAAAGAGAACAAAACTAAAACAAAACTAAAATTAAAAGAAAACTAAACGAAATGGACCATTAACTAAAAAAAGTCTAGCCTAGAGTGCTCATGGACATGTTGTTGGAGGCGGCACTCGACAAACGGTAGTGCTTCTTGAAGACTTTCGGGGACGATATCAGCCACTGATACGCCAGCTATAGCCGCGAGCGTAGAACCTAAGGTTCAGAGCTTAGGCACTTTCTTGTCTCCTAAATCCATCAACGAAGAGATCCTACCATGTGGGAGTCAATAGTAGTCGCACGTGCCGGCTAGGTGTGGTTTTTCACAAATCTAATCAAAAGTACAATGCTCCTTGTTGGGCCCTTTGGATGAGGTGGGATAGTGGAAGGACAAGACAATCTGTCCAGGTAAGCGATGTATGCGTCGACAGGGCATAGCTTCTTGCCAAAGTGAGAGATCGCATGACATTCCCAAAAACCTGCGACGATCTGCCGTAATGCTAGATTGTGCACTTTGTGAAAGTATTCTGCCAGGAATTCGTCCAAGGGTCGCGTAACGTGGGCCTGGCATTCTTGTAGTTGAGATAACCGTTGAAGAGAAGTGGTCTCCTGAGGCCAAGGCAACTCAAAAAAAGGTGCTTTGTACTGTTGATCTGGGTTCTTAGGATGGAGAACATACTCGGTGAGGATGTTATCATCGCCAGAGTTGGCCAAGGGGCGGAAGAAATGGGGGCCGTCAAGTGAAGCTACAGCTACCTTGAGGGCATCAGAGAGAACAAGTATCTTGGCCCGTGGACGATCAATGGCGATAGGGGAAGGGGAAGGGGAAGGGGAAGGGTTGGCCTGCGTAAGAGCAGCCACCTGCTGACGAAGAGTGTTGATTTCATGGAGTGCATTATGAGTGTTGTTGGTAGATTTGTCGCTCATTGGAACGAGTAGATAATAGTCTGCAACGGATGAGTTCCAGGGGCGACGAGAAGAAAGATGCGGATCAGATTTGCAGGGCAGAGGAATCTATTATTTAACCTATTTCTTTATTTCTCGTCGAATTTGCAATGAAGAAATGTGACACACATACGGACATGGTGCCGTAGACAATGTTTGTAACATTCTATTCGCTTTTCATCTTAAATTTGACCACTTGCCTTTTCTACTTGTTCTTGTTCTTTCTTTTGCTTTATGACGGACTTGCCTATTCGTTTTTTGAGCAATTTTTTTTTTCTCTTCTCGTCCAACTTGGATTATGAACATCATTTCGATGGTGAGTAACGATTCATCCAGGATATATGTGTGTGCTGAAGGAATGGTTGTTCTTGCGGTGATGAAAAGTAATAGCTCAGTAATTGATGGCGTTTGCTTTTTAAAAGTGAGCTGGCTGATTGCTCCCAACGAAGACTCTGCTTGCTTCGTCATCGCTTTGTTCAGATTTGCTAACATAACGTAAGAGTTTTTGCTTGACCTCCTTCGGAACATCTTCACAAATCGCTTCGAACCGTCTGCACATCTTGTCGATGTATTCATTTTCGCCCCCTTCGTCGCCCTTCACTGATATTAGCTGGGTCCTCGATCGCTTTGCAGTAACAGTTTCATGGCAATCCACTTCATTCTCCACTCATTTTTGCTCCATTTCCCAACTGATCAGTGGGGCTCAATAATATTGTAAGCAACTCAGTATCTCCTATTTCCTCTATGAAACAGATAAAAGTAATAAATTAACATCATGATACAATTGAACAGATTATTATCTTTTGAATGACTGGCTTCACCCTCTGAACTAAATTGCCTTCGATGTAATGTCCACTCTGATATTATCGAATTGAACTCTTCGTCTGATAGAATAAAATCACCTGGAAACAAAACCCATCTCGGCAAACCTCTTCATGACGATTTAGATGCTTCAAGGTTTTTACTGTTTGTTACATACCGAGGCTTGGGAGTGCACCTCAAGGGTACTTCCATTTTTATTCATAAGGTCAGAATATTGTGCGACGGTCATGGCAGGTCCTTTATAAGAGGCTCCCGCCCGGCAACAATAGTAAATACAACTTTTGATCTCCTTGACTTGCCACCTGTAGAAAACATCTCACTGTTGATTCGTACTGCTGATGCTTTTTGACGTAATGCAGACCCAAAGCCTTTAGTCTCTCTCGAGCAATTTTGTACTGGACCTTTAATGCCTTCTCAGAGAGGACTTTCTTTCCAGCATTGTCAAACGAATCAAAACATTGATGTCTAGCGACATTAATTGAATGAGGGTATAAGAAATGCCTAGCTGCAAATTCACAGCATTTCAAAAGCAACTCATTGTCCATCGCAGGACAATCGTTCTGTTGCCTTAACCTGAAGTCTTGCACACCTGGCTTTTTCATTTAGACCCATTATTGGCAGTCACAAGAGAAGCAAGTGGCAATGTGTCCCTCAACACAGTCCAGACATTCAAGAATGATTTCATTTCATTCAAACGCCATAAAGGACAGGGACATTCTTCTTTGATCCATCTCAATTAAAAAAAGAAAAAGAATCAAGCAAACATGACAAAAGAGCAATTGTCCATACGCCCATGTGCTCTGTATAAAAAAAAAGAACATTCCATGGAGTCAAGGGCGCAGGTATGCAATCATTATTTTGCCAACTGTACCACAAAGTAAATAGACAAGAATGATTTTAGATGAGCCGCGTACTTTTTCATCTTTTTACATCATTACCATCACATAAATCCCCCTTCGCATTTCCTCTTTATTAATCCGAATCTCTTGAAGTATATACATGTAAGAAATTCCAAGATGCCTAGGAACTCATCTGAAAACACCGCTTCCACTCACCATTAACGCACAGTCCCTTTCTTTAACAATCATTATCCATTCAAGGATACGGATAGGCTACAATCCAAGGGCAAAAGGAAGACATTAAACCATGTTTGGTAACATCAATTCTCCGTCTCGGAAGACACTCTCTCCAACCCAGGCCCTGAGACTCTTCAATTTCTATATGCAAGGCACTCGCACCATAGACGATGATAATGACATAGTAATGGAGCTATGTTTCGATGCTGACTCTGTACTGTCTCGAATTCAAAAGTCTCCGAAAAAGCCCTTTGCCTCAATGTCTTCAGGTTCTTCGATCTCTTCAGGTTCCAATGAAGACATGGCATTGCGCCAAGGTATCGCCTCTGCCTACTATGAACTTGCTCGGGTATTTGAACAATTGGGTCACCCAGGTGATGCTCAAAGACGGGACAAGAAAGCAGAGAAATGGGGATACGTTCAAGGGATCAGTAATAATATTAACAATAGCAACAATATCAGCAGATCGAGTAGAATGCCTATAGGAGCACAAGTGCAGTCAGTTGCAACTATTTCAAAGGACATTTTTAATCATAATGACTCTCCAACAATCATCAGGCACAGCTTACCGGATGCTGATACTCACCTAAATGATACCCACCAGCTTGTATATTGCCTTGGCCTGCTCTCTACTGCTTCTGTCCCAACCACCAACCTCACCGATAAAGAGAAAGAGTGGTGCCATATCATATCAGCCGATAAAGATGAGTATGAGCGATTGCATAAATTGGCATCGGATGTGATTGAAATTTTCAGCACCAATGATGTTAAGGCCGAAACTGCTGTCGTAGAGGTTGTATCTCTGGCTCCGGCTCTCGACCAAATTCAGTTCAGAACATTGCTCATGGCCTTGATCAATGGGATTAGTCAGAATATCATACTGGGGACTCATTTGCTGGAAGGATTAGCTCAATTGATACAACGTGGTCCTCTTGGATGCCTCGACTCGGATGATCTTGTCTCTATCCTCAATATTCTCAGTTCCCGTTTGCAGGGCACACATACCCAATCTGGAAACCATCTCTATCGGCTCTCAGCTACAGTCTCACATGTCCTCGATGCCATGGTCAACAGCCAAGTCAAGGGTTTGAAGCGAGAACAACTCCATGAGCCACTTGCTGCATACCTCAAAGGATTGAAAGGCAGCTCAAATCCTCATCTAGTCTACCAAGCGGCTTATGCTTTCCAAGCACTACTGTACATTCCAGACGACGAATCAACTATGCAAGGCATGCTTCGACGAACATCAGCAGTATTCCGAGGAGTATTTGGAATAGTGAGTGCAGTCAAGGACATGAATATGAATGCTTTCATTGATGAGATAAGCAACATCCAGAAAGGTCTTCCATCAGTGACAGACATCACGGAAATGAGTTTACAAGTATACAAGGGTACAACCTCGCTGTATGAGAGTGGAGCAACATTCAGAGAGTGTATGGAAGAAGGACTGAGCTTCAGTCGCAAGTCAGGATGGTATCCAGCACTTCGAGTAGCTGATGGGCTACTCCAGACAGGCGAACTGACCAAGTTCAAGACTCTTGTGTGCGGAGCATCCTGCCGGAATGAAGCAGCATTCCAATGGGGACTATGTCAAAGACTGGGACAGATTGTGGCTGATGCAAAGTGGAGCATGGATACTCGACAAGATGCCATTATGTTGTTAGGAGAGATCTACAAGAATGACCAAGAATGGGGTTGCAATGCACATATCAAGCAGTGGATCGTGAATATCCTTAGGCACCTATCCTCGCTGTCACTGGATGGTCTTCAAGGTGCATATTTCCTTTTTTTCCAAAGGATATGTTTGATGGCTGTAGTAATTAGTAGTATATGTTGACTAATCTACGTACTCCACACTTACCTTCTTCCCTTCTTTCTGCGCCCTTAATATCCAGTCACAAACACTCTCTTAAATGATCTCGAAAGACATGGAGACGTCAAAAAACAAGATTTATATAGGAGCTGTCTTCAGGCACCATTAATCCAGTGCATCTTCACTGTCACACCCCCTCCTGCTCCGCCCACCCATCTGCTTGACCGCGTACAGAAGAAGCCTGGATTTGAGGACAGTTTACGTCAGCTAAAGAGACGACGGATGGAGACTGGGGATGACCACGGGTTCTACATTCAACAATATGCAAAAGCAAGCCCTCAAGCAAGCGATGACAAGTTGTTCTTGTTGATGGATAAAGTGAAAGAGTTTTTAGACAGCGACCAAAAAGTGATGCTTGTGCAAGGAGATTCAGGAGCAGGCAAATCCACATTCAACCGCACTCTGGAGCGCACACTCTGGGAGACGTACCAAAAGAGACATGGTCGGATCCCTCTGTTTATCAACCTTCCAGCCATTGACAAGCCAGAGAAGGACCTGGTTGCAAAACAGCTGCGAGACTATGGTTTCACGGACTTAGAGATCAAGGAACTGAAGATGAACCGATCATTCATCTTGATATGTGATGGATATGATGAGAGCATGCAGACCAACAACTTGTATGCATCCAACCAACTGAATAAGGCTGGAGAGTGGAAGGGTCAGATGGTGATCAGTTGTCGCAGTGAATATCTCGGATCGGACTATCGAGACCGATTCCAGCCTATGGACCGCAATCATCGAGCAGATAGTGGATTGTTCCAAGAGGCAGTGATTGTGCCATTCTCAGAGACGCAGATTGAAGATTATATTGAACAATATGTCGATTCTATGGACTTACTGTGGGGCGTGGAGGACTATAAGCGCGCACTCAAGATGATTCCTAGCTTACAAGAGCTTGTGAGGAACCCATTCATACTATCGATGTCACTTGAAGTACTCCCACGGATGGTGGATCCAAGCCAAGACATTTCTAATACCAAGATCAAGCGGGTCACATTGTATGACCAGTTTGTTGAGCTATGGCTCGAACGAGGCAAGAAGCGACTAGGTGAAACACTTAGGCCAGAAGATAGAAAGATGTTCCGGATATTTACAGATGAAGGGTTTGCACAGAATGGAGTCAAGTACCTGACAGAGCTAGCTATAGCGATCTATAAGCATCAAGATGGCAACCCAGTGGTGGAGTACTCGCCATTCAAGGACAAGGGTACATGGAAGGAAATGTACTTTAGCAAAGAAAATAGAAGGAACCTATTACGTGAAGCTTCGCCACTCACTCGTACAGGTAACCAACATCGATTTATGCATCGATCTAATCTGGAGTATAGTCTGGTACGATCGATATTTGAGCCACAGCCAGTAAGGAGTGCTTTCACAGGCGATGGAGAAGCAAAGGCAACTACACCACACTCTCGTCGACAGAGCATTAGCTCAGTGTTTAGTTTCGAAGGCTTGGATATCAAGGAAGGTGAACAGGAAGTGGATCTAGTCGAAGCCGATGAGACATCGCCTTTAGTATGGAGAAGTTTTGTAGACGAGCCATCTATCATCCACTTCTTAGAGGATCGTGTCCGCCTTGAGCCAGTGTTTAAACGACAGCTGTACACGTATGTGGAGCTCTCAAAAGACGGTCATAAGTGGCGAATAGCAGCGGCCAATGCGATGACGATCTTGATCCGATCAGGCGAGTCATTCATCGGAGCAGATTTACGAGGCATCCAGATTCCAGGAGCAGATGTCAGCCATGGTATTTTTGAAAATGCTCAACTGCAAGGAGCAGATCTGAGGAAGGTTAACTTACGGAAATGTTGGCTTCGTGGAGCAAACTTGAGTGGAGCAAAGATGGCAGGAGTACAGTTTGGAGAGTGGCCACTTATCGAAGCAAGCGGTAAGGTATTAGACGGAACATATTCGCCTGATGGCAAGACACTTGCTGTAGTTATCGAAGATAACCCATCAAAGAGACTTTCAATTATTATATACGACACATCATCATGGGAGGAGCTTTTGAATCTTAGGAACAAGGCAATCATTGACCGCCTAGTATACTCGCCAGACAGCCGACATATCGCCTCCTGGGACTACTACCGAAAAGCAGTTATAGTTGTGGATATTAAATCAGGAGCAATAGTTCGCAAATTGGTGGGCTCTAGACAGTCTGTCTTTTGTTTAGCGTACTCACCAAGCGGAAATGACCTTGCTTCAGCTGACCTTGATGAATCAGTGCGAGTGTGGGACACCCAAACAGGCATTCTCAAATTTAGATTAGAGGGCCTTACTAATGATGCGAGGACTGTGGTATATTCACCTGATGGAAAGCAGATTGCAACTGGCAGTGGCGACAAGATATTGCGATTATGGGATGCGACATCCGGACAACTGATAATGATGCTCATGGACCATAAGTCTAGGGTTGACCAAATTGAGTATTCACCTAATGGCCAGGAAATTATAACTCGCTGTGACTTTGGTCATTTCCTATATGTGTGGGATGTTGGAACTGGTCAAAAGAAGTTTGAGTTGAAACACGATTATGATGTTAGGGGCATACAATATTCACCTAACGGAAGGTTCGCTGCTTCGTTCGCTGAATCTCACGGCTCGGGCAC